GGCCCCGCCGGCCCCCGCGAACTGGCAGAGCACGAATGACCACGGGCGGGGTCGGGCGGGAGCCCGGACTGACCGCAGGAGCGGGGGCCGCCCCCGCTCCCCCAGCGGGCGAGGAACAGGACTCGTGCCCGGACACCGCGATTTTGCCTTCGGTTTCTGGGGAAGTCCAAGGCCCGGCTCGGGAGCCTGGGTGCGCCCCCTAGTGGGCTCGCCAGTGGGCACCGCGGACGCCCGCACTCCGCCCCCGCCCGCGGACGACAGGAGCGCAGGAACCGAGAACTCCGGGGGCAAGAGACTGCGGAAGCCGTTCCCGGAAGCGGGAAGCAGTCCACGGGGAGAACCCCTTCTCGGGAATGCTCAGGCCCCCCCAAGACTTGACGCAGCCCTCCTCACTTCTGGAAGAGGGGAGGGCTTTGGGCAAATGGGTATCCCCTGGCGCCCCTCCACTCTTCTCTCTCTTTTTTTTGGGGAGAAACCTCAGAATTTCTATGAGATCCCTCTCCCAGCCACACCCCGACCCCTGTTGGAATAAAAAAAAGAACAAAACCCCAAAACTGGGGAACCCCGGGTCTCATTTTCTGGAGGTGTGAGGGCTCTGGGGAGTGGCTGAGACCCTCACCTCGGGTGGTCACGTCTGCCCTGGTAACACTCAGCCCTGCCCACAGCCAGCAGCCAGCCCAGATCCCAGCCGCTGGCTCCTCTCCACTGACCTTCTCTTAGGACAGAAGAGAAGGAGGCTGCGACAGAGACCCTGAGACAGATGGAGGGAGATGTGGGGATCTGTAGAGGTGGAGACTCTGGGAAAGGAGACATAGAAAGACAAACCACATGGGGGAGGGGGAGGGGAGGGCAAGTGAACGGCTCTGAGTGGTGGCACCTGGGCGTATGGTGGCAAGGGTGTGCTTGAGCTGGGGCGATTTGGTGACCTTGTGATCCGTGTGCATGTGTGTGTGTCCCGGAGGCCATCTTCAGAGCTCTGTGACTGTGGCCCTCTGTTTCTGCAGAAAGTGTACCTCCCCAGCCCCCAGGGGAGGAAGTGAGAAACCCCATTAGTGTGCGGAAGGGAAGCTGAGGGCTGGTGAAGAAGGGAGAAGGGTGGGTCTGCTCTCTGTCCCCGCCCTCGCCGCCCCACTGGAGGTTTCTGTGGAAACTGCAGCTGAGAAAGGACGAGTGAAGGTCACACAGCGAGAGCCAAAACGAGGCCGAGGAGAAGGGGGAGAGAGAGACAGGGCGGGGGTGGGAAAGCCAGAAAGGGAAGAGACTGAGAAGGGGTAGAGGAGGGGAAAGCGACGATGAGGAGGGAGGAAGAGGAATAGAGAAATAGAGGCAAAGCAGGGGAGAGGCGGTGGGAGGGGAGAGAGGAAAATGAGGTAGGGTGGAGACGGGAGGGATGGGGCAGAGGTGGAGACAGACGAAGCGGGGAGAATAAGAGCAAGGAATTGGGGCTGTGAGAAGCAGACACTGAGGTGGAGGAGAGACCCGAGGCCCTAGAGGACCAGAAGGGGCCAGAGCAGCGAGGAAGGCCCTGGGAGGAGCAGAGGGAGAGGCTGGCCGCCCCGGGAGCTGTCCGTTTCAGCACCAGGCCCGGTGGGCCTTGCTGGCAGCCCTGCCCTGCCTCCCCTGCACTGCCAACCTGCCTGCCTCCCAGGCGGTCCTCAGGCGGGCCACCCTGCCTGGCACACGGCCAGCCCCTCTTGTGTCACGATAATTGCCCATGGGGGAGGGACTGTGGTGTGCTTATTCCTCAGCGGTTGTGTCCACATCTCTTTACGGGCTAGTCAGTGTCTCTGTCCTTGGGCCAGATTCGCTCTCAGTCTGTCCAGGTGACTAGAACATGACTGCAGGCGTTTCTGGTATCTCCCCTTCTCTGTCCCAGTACCACATGGCTGATGGCCTCTGGGGTCTCCCCATTTCTGAGTCTCCTTCCCCACCGTTTCTGCTGAGTCTCTCCCAGTCATTTCCTCCGAGTCCCCGTAGTTTGCCAGACCTCTTTCTGCCTGGTTCTTTTGATCTCTGTGTGTCTCTGTCACCTTCACTGAGTATTTCTGTTGCTCTGTCTCCCTCCTGTTTTTTCATCTCTGTCTTTGCTGGCCTGTCAGTCTGTCTGTATCTGCCTCTCTGTCTCTGCTTCTGGACTCTGTTTCTTCTCTTATGTCTTCCCGTTGCCTCTCATGCTGAGCTCCCATCCATCCCTGTGACCTTCCTAAGTCTTCCCTCCTCCCCCCATAACTTCCGCAGAGCCTCGCGCTGGGAGCACGATGCACAGTCATCAGTCTCACCACGCTTGTGTCTGAAAAGGGAGTGCATGGGGAGGGGGGTATGAGCCTGTGTCTGTGTTGGGGTGTGGGGGAACAAGGTCCCCCTCAACCCACTGAGAGCAAGAAGAGAGAGCCCAGAATCTTATGAGATCCTTCACCCCCAGGTTTCTCTCCCCCCCCCCATGCCTTTCTGCATAGTCCATGCACATTCCTGCAGGACTGCTTATCCACAGAGGGAAGGGATATGTTGGCAGACCTTTTCTCCCCAGGGACAGGAACAGAGGTGAGGAGGTGGGTCTGAAGGCTAAGCACCTGGGTTAAAAGATATGGCTCCCTTCCCCCTTCCCCAATCTCCATGGAGACAGGCCAGGTCTGCAAGCCCAGCCTCCTTTGCTGCTGCATATTCGGGCTCCCTGTTACCATGGCAACAAAAGACTGCAGGGAGGGATGGGGATGGGTCAGAGTACAGGATAGGGCTGAGGCTCAGGGTGCTGCTGGAGAAAACCGCAAAACTCAACTCCTTGTTTCCTTTTCTTTGGTCCATTTCTCTGTGACTCTGAATCTCTCTCTCCCCCTTCTCTCCCCACATCCTCTGTTTGTGCTTTAGTGATATCATTCTGATCTCCAGCTTTTCACACATTTCCTATCCTTAGGTCCTTAACCTTCTTCCCCATCTATATACCAGGCTCATTGTGCTTGCCTATTTCCCTCCCCTAGTGGGAAAGGTCTCACATTCTGAGAGCTTCAGAGACGGTTGCTCATGCTCTCTGCCCCTTTTATCACCTCCAGGTGGTATCTGGGGTTGTTCCGCATAGAGAAGAGGGGTGGGGTGGGAGGCAGTGACTCCTGAGGTTCCAGTGGACGGTTGTTGGGGTGCTGTGTGTATGTAGCAGGCCAGGGTGTGGGTGCCACAGAGCATCTGCATGTGCATACAGGGATGGATGTGTGTGGTGTGTGAGTGGGAGTGTTGAGGTGTGTTGGGAGGTACAACAAAGTTGTGCATGATAATGCTGCAATACGTCATGTGTGTGGCGTGGGAGGTGTGTGGGATGGTGGTGTGTGATCTGTTTCTGTGAATTCTCGGGCTGTGGTTTTGTGTGCACTTCTTGTCATTCACAATCAGCAACAGTTTGGCAATTTTCACTGTGGGCTTTTGCTCGTGGCCAGCTACTCTGGGGAGAAGTGTGTGTGACTGTGTAATATCACCCACAAAGCTAAAGTGGTATGTAGAGGCAGACTGAAGCCTGCGTGTGTGCTGGACATGTATTGGCTCTTGGGTATGTAGCTGATGGTTGTGGGTGTCCATGTGCGATGACGCAAGGCCAGGTATGGTGGTGTGTATCGTGTGTGAGGTGTGTTCTGGAAAGTGTGATGAGCTAATAAAGCTCTGTGACTGAGTGTGGTACTTTGTGGGGTTTGCAAGGGCATGTGGGCTTCATGCATTTCCTCTACATGTTCATGAGTTTCAGGTTGGGGTGGTGTGTGTGAGGGAACAGGCTGGTGTGGGATGGTTATGATTGTGGAACTGCTGGTGTGTGATGGGGTGGTGTGTGTGTCCCAGCATCGGGCTGTCGGGATGATGGTCCTGAGTGTGATGCTTCATCAGGTCCTCTGGCTGTGATGAGCCTGTACAGTTGTCTCACTGGGTCCCCCTGCCATAGTGGGGGGCACCCAGTGGAGCACCTGGGAGCCCTCTCCAGCTCCCCCCTTCATTTGGGGGTCTTCCTTGCTTCTTGTACTCCCTCCAGACCCCCTCCTGAAAAGCACCGCCTATGTCTCCAGTGCACCCCCTTTGTGTCACTGCAGAGGGAGATGCCCTGGGTCCCCTACCTAATGCCGGTGACTTAAGGGGCTTTCTGCCCCCTCCCTCAGTGCGCTCTCCCTGGTGGTACACCTTCATACTGCGGGATTTCTGGGAATTTCTTCCTCGTCCAGCGCCCCCTTTCTAGAGGCGCCACCCCACATTGCGGGGGTCTCCGGGATTCCCCCTCCCGCAGCGCTCCCCTTTTCGGCAGCGCTGCCACTTTGCAGAGACTGGGGGCGGGGAGGACAGCTGCAGTACCGGGGGCGGAGCCGCGGGCCGTCCGTCAGGGCGGCGGCGTCTCCGATTGGCCCGCGACGCGCCCCCCCGGGAGCGCGGGCATATGAGGAGGCGGAGGCCGCGGAGCCGCAGACTCTGCGCGGTCGGGCTGACGGCTGGACGGACGCGCGGACCGAGGCGCGGGCGCTGCAGAGGCCCCAGCCAGAGCCCGCGCCTGAGCCCGCCTTGAGGCCCCTGCCCCGGCCCCCGCCCCGCCTGCCCGCCTCTCTCCCCCGGAGCCGCCAAGATGGGGGTAGGTGCTCGGGCCGGCCGCGGTGCTTGTGTGTTCGAGTGTGACACGGTGGGTCCAGTGATATTGGCTGTCCACGGGGGGCCGGCGTCCCTGGGCCAGGTCTGGCGACCCCGAGATTCGACCGACCCCGCCGGTCCGGTCCGTGTGGTGGCGACACTGACTGAGTTTGTGCTGCCCCCAGCCCCCGCCCCCTCCCAGGGTCGGAGGGGGTCGGTGGCGCATGTCGTGTCTTTGTGTGCCGGGTCTGCGTGGGCAGGGGCTGGCCCGTCCGCCTCTGCCTGACCCGGTGCGGCCGCATGCTTGCTCCTATCGTGCGTGTGCATGTGCTTGTGCATGGGTGCGTGTGTGAGCCCTGCTCCGCCAGGCCCTGCAAGTGCATTCGACCTGCAGTTGTGAGGCCCCAGTTGTGTCTGACGATCTGCAACCGTGTCTGGGTGTGTCTGAGAGCTGGTGTCTGTGCCTGGGGCCTTGAAGCCCCTCTGTTTCCCTGGCCAGGTAGAGACAGGTCTGGGCTATGGGGTGGACACCAGATGACCTCTCTGTCTCCTTCCAGACCAGGATGGGGGGCCTCCGCAGTGCGGCGCAGCCTGGGGCTGCAAAGTGCGGCCAGCCCCTAACCTGGGGGAGCCGACCCTGGAGGCAGGGAGGAGCAGGAGAGCCATGGGGAGGAATCGGAGTGCCTGGTTGAGAGCAGACATGTGCAAATGTGTGTGTGTGTTGGGGGAGTCACGCATGCCTGGCTGTGCCCTTGCGTCTATGTCCGTGTGTCCTTGTCTTGTCTGTAAGTCTCTCCAGCAGATGCTGCCTCACCTCCTTCCCTGACTGACCACCGACCCCCGCTGCAGCCCTGGATTCCTCCCTCCTGTCTGGGGCTGGGCCATGGGGTGGGGGTCTGGGGGAGGAGGCGGGTGGGCTGGGATGGGTGGGATGAAGAGAGAGGGTTGGGATGGGAGAGGCTGATGGGCAGAGGGAATATGAGGGATGGGGAGAAAGATGGCGGATGAAGGCTTATGGGCCTAGGGATGGAAGTGGGGGGTGGGGCTAGAGCTCTATGGAGTGGGGTGGTTGGAGGGGGGATGGGAAAAAAATCAGGTGGAGAAAGGACTGGGAGAAAGAAGGGGGAGATGGGAATGGGTGATGGCCTCCAGGTAAGTGGGATGGAGGGAAGGGAAGTAATGGGCAGATTGGAGGAGAGAGCTGAGGCTAAATGCCTTCGAGAAGGGGGGTGGTGCTTAGGGAAAGAATTGGGACCAAAGGAGAAATGAGACACTTTATACCTGTGGGGCAGAGACAGAGACACTCTGAAAGAGGTAGAGACAAAGAGACAGGCAGAGGAACAAAGACATGGAGAGATAGAGAAACTGAGGCTGAGATGAGGAGATCCACAGACAGGCGTTTCCTCAGAGACAGCCAGCGCAGGCCTGAAGGATGGGAGGGGGAGGCGGAGGGGAAAGGAAGGCGTCCAGGGAGAGATGTGCAGAGATGATAACCCCAGACACCCAGAGACGGGGAGGAGAGCCTGGCCGAGGTACGGAGACCGCCAGAGTGGGGGGGGTGAGGGGGAGGCGGACAGCACCGAAAATGGCGAGGAGCTGCAGAGGCGGCTGCAGCGAGACAGGCGTGTCCCCCACCCTCGGAGGTGCTCCCGCCCTGCAGCGCGCCCATCTGGGCCTCCTGCCTTCACTGGGAAAGCCTCAGCTCCCCTCCAACAGATGGAAGCCTGCCCCCTGCGGGAGTCTGGTCATGGCAAGGGCAGGCAGGAGCCAAGCCTTGCCCGCCAGGACTGGGGTCCACAGCCCCCTCCTCCTTCAGACCCTACTGTCCCCACACCCAACCCTCCTCCCTCAGATGGAATCCAGCCCCAGTCCCTCCCCCCTCAGACCCAGGAGTCCAGCCCCCGCCTCTCCTTTCTCAGATCCCAAGAGCCCCTGGGCCCCGCCACACAGGGACCCAAGCACCAACTTGCACCCTAAGGTTTCAGGGTTGGCAACTCACACTCCTGCATCTCTCTCTCCTGCTGCCTCCCTCCTCCTTGCTCTACTTTGACCCCCCCCCATGACCTTATATCTCCTCACCTCCCACCCCTGGGTCTACCTCTGTGGGAAGCTGAGACCCCTCCTGGCACAGGGGCCGGGAGCTTCCTCTCTGCCCCCTGAGCCTCCTGCCTACTGTCAGACCTGACCGCAGAGCGCTGCAGGGCTGGCCCAGGGCCAAGCCTCCCTCCCACCCTCTCAGCCCTCTTAGAGGTTCCCTGGCCTCTTGACCATAGCCCCTCCCAATAGCCCCCAGGCTCTGCTTCCTGGTCAGGGGCCCTGCAGTCGGGCCCTGTGAAGGTCAGGAGGGGATTAGTGCTGAGCCTGGCTGAGCCTGGGATCCCAGCCTGGCCCTGGGCCAGGAGGATCTGCCCTCCCTCTGTCAGCACCCACCTCCCCTCACCTGCCCCCTCCTGACAGCTTCGAGACACCAGCTTCCCCATCTGCCCCAAACTGGAACTCAGTTCCCTGCTCACAGTGAGCTTCGTACAAGCCAGCCTGGGGCTTCCAGACCCAAATCCTGGCCAGTTCCGATTCTGTGCTCCAGAGACCTGGCTGCCTCTCCCACTCAAACCTGACTCCCACCCACCTCCATCTGCTGGAGGCCCGCAGGACTGGCTACCGCCCGGCCACCAGCTGAGACCCACACCTGGAATGCCCATTCCTCCCTGTTCCTGCCAGACCTGTGGGGCCTCCCCAGATTTGCTGGGTCCTTTGAGAGACAGAGACGGGGGCACCCACAGCCCAGGACAAGAGCCAGGTAGAAAAGAGAGGAAGAGAGGAGGTCACGCAAGGGAGGCTGGGAGCTGGGATAACAGATGCAAGGTAGACACGGGGGAGAGAGAAGATGGCAGAGTGGCACGGCTCCACAAGATGGTTGAAACTAGGCAGAGACAGATAGCGACACACTGAGTACCGCTGAGAGCAGCTGAGAGAGAAAGGAGTGGTGACCGGGCCAGGCAGGGACAGGATGAAGAAAGACACAGACCATAGTCACGCTAAGAGGCCTCGCACGCCAAGTCCCGGAGACAGACTCCGAGGTAGCTCAAGAGCTGGAGAGACGTGAAGAGCCGGCGCTCACGGCAAGAAACCCGCAGGGAGACCCAGAGAGGGCGTGTGGGCTAGGGAAGCGGGCAATGTGACGGGATGAGGGACAGAGGGCTGGGAGGGACAGAGACACACGCAGAGACGGAGAGATAAGGAGACACGGAGAGACAAAATAGGACACTCAGACACACGAGTTGGAGACCTGGAGAGACAGGTCGAGAGAGAGAAAGACCACAGAAGATGAGCAGCACAGACAGGCAGCTAGAGAGGCCCAGGAGAGGGAGAGAGACAGGGAGTTAAAAAGCACATAGCGAGGAGGAGAGGGACCCAGAGGTGGCACAGAGGGGAGAGAGAGGCAGTCGTGCAGGTGCGCAGGGCAGGAGGGGCCCAGGGCCCAGGAGCTCTGCTGGCAGAGACAAGACGCAAGGGAGGCACAGGTGGGCCCAAGGGACGGCAGAGGCCACCCAGGCCAGGGCAGGGCTGGGCGGAGGGCTGGGTCCCCCGCCACCCTTCTCGCCTGCAGTCTGGTGGCTCTGACAGCCACCATGTCGCCACCTCGCAGGACAAAAAAGATGACAAGAGCTCGCCCAAGAAGGGCAAGGCCACCAAGAGCCGGGACATGGATGACCTCAAGAAGGAGGTGGCTATGGTAAGCCCTGCCCTGCCCGCACTCCCTCCCAGAGCGCGCCCGCCCTCACCCGCTGCGAGCCATTCTCACCTGCCTCCCCCCAAACTCCTGTTCCTCAGACAGAGCACAAGATGTCAGTGGAAGAGGTCTGCCGGAAATACAACACAGACTGTGTGCAGGTGTGCCGGGCGTGAGGGAGGCCAGGCCTGGGCTCCGGGTCTGAGGAGGGGCTGAGGGAGGGAGCCCCGGGCGTTTGGAGGAGTGTTGGCATGCCACGGTTGCTCAGGGGGTCCTGTATCCCCCAGGGTCTGACCCACAGCAAAGCTCAGGAGATCCTGGCCCGGGACGGGCCTAATGCGCTCACACCACCGCCCACCACCCCTGAGTGGGTCAAGTTCTGCCGTCAGCTCTTCGGGGGCTTCTCTATCCTGCTGTGGATCGGAGCCATTCTCTGCTTCCTGGCCTATGGCATCCAGGCGGGCACCGAGGATGACCCTTCTGGTGACAATGTAAGAGCCCTACGCCCTGCCCCGAGCAAAGGACATGCATTTAGGGGTGCACACACACGCCCCGCCCCATCTCCCACACGCTTTAGACTCTTCAAATCCAATCTCCTCCTTTCCTTAATGTAACAGCGGGGGTGGGGGGCAGAGGTGGTACAAGGAGAACCAAGGCTCAGAAAGGTCAAGTCACTGCTCCAAGGCCACACAGCAGGATGTGTGTCTTCAGGGGCTTCAGGGACAGACACCACTAGGTGCTCATGGCCTGAAAGACACCCAGTGGATGACTGTGCTCAGGGACAGCCTCCTGCTGAGATGTCACAACCGCCCACCTGCATAGGCTCATACGCCCATAAACACAGACCCCACACTGACAACATAGATTCTCACTCACACACACACACACACACACACGCGCAGTCACACCTGGACACACGGTGTCCAGACACATGGGCAGAGGTGGCACAGAGCTTAGCAACACACAGCGTTGCAGGCACAACCAGCTGACAGACAGAAAGCAGAGACACGACACAGACTCCGGGATTAAAACTGAGGCAGACAGGCCAGAGACCCAGAGTTCCAGACCTAAGCAGACCCGAGGAGAGGGACAGGCAGGGCCCACTGTCAGAGTCAAGCACGAGCATGCCTGTAAATGGGAAGCCGGGCACGCAGACAGACACCCACATGGAGATCCGTTACCCAGATACGCTAACAGAGGCAGAGATGGCC